GACATTAACACGGAAATCGTACTGGAAGAAAATTTGAATGAATTTGAAAGAACATTACTGCATAGTCCAGTAACTAATTATGAGACAATAAATAATACGGATGGAGAGATAATTCGAGAACAGAACTTGATCGAATTTTTGTCAGAAACTAATGATACAACAGAAGAGATTTTGCATGAAGAAGAGACCGCCGAACCAATTGTCAAAAAAAGACGCAAATGCAGACATGTTGACAAAAATGATTGGAAACGAGAGGAGAATAAAAGGAAGAGAGAGTTGGGCTCCGAATTTTTTGGGAAGAAGAAAGAAGGTAATAAATGGACATATGACTTGAAGAGACCCAGAAAGTCCTTGGCAGAGACATGTAATTGCAAGTTTGACCCAAACACTTCCAAGTTAAAATGTCGTGCCTTTTCTGAAGAGCACCGTAATAACATTTTTGATTCATTTTGGAAAAAAACTTGGGATGAAAAGAAGTTAACCGTTAATCTACTAACCCAACGAGTAAACACTTCGAGGGCTAGAAATAGAAAGAATGAGGAGACATCTCAAAGAGCATGTTCTTATAATTATTATCTTGAAAAGAATGGATTAAAATTAAGAGTTTGCAAAAAACTATTTTCAAACACATTAGGCTTGAAACCTTGGACAATACATAATTGGTTAAAAGCTTACCACATAAGTACAGAAAATAATGAGGATATCAAAAAAACAATTAATGAAAACACGACAGGATTGGAAAAAACAAGAAAATGTTCTCAGCGACAACACTTGCAAGATTTTTTTAAATCGCTTGCAAAAGTTGAATCCCATTATTGCAGAAGTTCATCCTCAAAACAGTATCTTGAACCAATTTGGAAATCTAAATCAGAATTGTACACATTGTATAAAGAAACATGGTGTTCTAAATTTAATGAATCTCCAATGTCAATAGCTTACTTTTGTCATATGTTTGAAGATTTGAATCTTAGTCTGTTTAAACCAAAAAAAGACGAGTGCGACGTCTGCATTTCATTTAAAAGTAAAAACATTACCGAAGAAGAGTATCACCAACACATACAAAAGAAAGATGAAGCGAGGCATGAGAAGGAATTGGATAAGCAATCTAATAATAGCGTCTTTACGATGGACTTGCAGTCGGTGCTTCTATGCCCTAAATCAAATGCTGGTTCACTTTACTTTAAAACCAAACTTATTGTGCATAATTTTACCGTGTATGATTTGAAGACGAAAGCTGGTTACTGTAACATCTGGCATGAAGGCGAGGGAGGATTAAGTGCACAATCATTTGCTTCTATAATTAGCACTTTTATAATAAATCACCTTGCAGAAACAGAAAATAATGGTGAAGACGACAATAACTGCTTAATTTTTTGGAGCGACGGATGTGGCTGCCAAAATAGGAATGCAACCATTGCAAATGCCTTACTTAATTTAGCTGTACTTAGGAAAATTACAATAATTCAGAAGTACCTCGAACGAGGTCATACTCAAATGGAATGCGATTCTATGCATTCCGTTATTGAGCGCAAGTTACGAAATAGAAACATAAATGTACCGGCAGATTATGTTGATGTTTGTAGAACAGCTAGACTACATCCCAAGAATTATAACGTAGAGTACCTTACAAATAGCTTTTTCAAAAATTTTGATCAGGTACATTTTGTCAATTCAATTAGACCTGGGCGCAAAGCTGGAGACCCAAGGGTTAATGATGTCCGGGCTTATAGGTACAATTCAAACGGTACCATAGATTTCAAACTGCGACATGTTGCCGACTGGAAAGCTCTTCCATCAAGATATAACAAAGTTAAAGCTACTGAACTGCAAGAACTTCCTCGTCTATATAGCGCTCCTTTAAAAATCAAAAGAGAGAAATTCGACCACTTAATGTCTTTAAAAAATATTTTACCCAAAGACTACCACCATTTTTACGATCAGTTGCCACATGAATAATACGAAAATAAATATTAAGTACACGAAATTTTAATTTGTTCAAAAAATCTTTTTTAAGTAAAAAAGTTATCAATAAAATGTAATAATTGTTTAAACTATGTATTTTTATTAAGTCACACAAGTCCAACAAAAATAAGAATAAGCGCAGAAAAATCAATAAGTCCATTTATATAATTATCATTAACTGATATCATGTTTTAGACAAATATATACTAATATCTAACCTGTAGTAGATTTATCATCGATATTTAGAACAGAAACTTACAGTATTTTTTAATTTAATTAATTTAATGTGTCTCCTGAAAAGTTTTGCTTTTGTGACTTATGTGATTTGCTAATTAGGCCGACGATACACTGTTTTGTTCTAAGAGTATATTAAATTTATTTAAATGTATATTCTTTGTTTCTTATATGAATTTTCATATACTATTTGTAAACTAAAAATAATTTGATCAAAATCAGAATTTGATATCATTTTGAAAAGCAAATCTTTAATACTTAAATTATTTTGTTCAACAACAAATAAATTGGATCTATGAAATTGCAACTTCTCCCGGATAATGGATAAACTGGCACAGTGTAGAATTTTTTCCAGCCTGCTGTTTGAATATACTGGACGTAACTTCACGCGCTTTGGTATTAAGTATTGTCTCTACCTCTTCGTAAAAATTTGATTGAATTTTGACAATTAGCCAGTTTTTTATAAATTTTCAATCTCTGACTATTTTGAATAATGCTGGGCGTAGTGGGTTTCTTGTTATGAAGCTATTTTCTTGTGGCATTACTATTTTATTGGGAATAAGCCACAATTGAAGGTTAAAATAAGTGTATTGGCGTCTCAATTTCCACTTCGGAAATCGTTCTCAAAATACAAACATTAATAATTAAAAAAATTTTGTTTTTTGTTACTTGTTGAAAAATTATTTTAATAATTTTTTTTTCTGACCCAGTCATATTGACAATTCAGACATATATTGTAGACAAGTTTAAAATGATATTGGCAATATTGCTGAGTTGCGTTTCTAGTCTTTTTCTGACGGATATTCTCAAGTTAAAGTTGATTTCATGTAATCGAATGAACTATCTCACAATAAAGTCGTCCTAGGAACGCAACTCAGCAATATTGGCAATATTTTAAAGTCATTTACTTTAAAATGTATAATATGTCTGAATGTCAAGAGAACAGTGTTATACCAATCAATGCATAAGTTTGGTATACCAGAGAAACTTAATCCGATTAACGAGAATGACAATGTCTAACTTAGAAGCCACTGTTAGAATACAGGGAGAGAATTCTAGATCCTTTGAGATAAAGGATATACTCAGACAAGGGGATGCTCTGGCTTGCCTCTTATTTAATATTGCCTTAGAAAAGGCAGTCCAAAATACACGAATTAGGGATGGCGATACTATTTACAATAGATCGATACAAGTCTTAGCATATGCTGATGACATTGACATAATAGGGCGTAGCAAGCGAGATGTTGAGCAATATCTCCTAGAATTGGAAACAGCGGCGAAACAGGTCGGTCTAGTCATCAACGAAGACAAGACCAAGTACATGTTGGTTACAAAGGATCCGATAGCAAATGAGGAACGAGGAACAGTCTTTGGAAGTCATACCTTTGGACGTGTTGACAACTTCACATACCTTGGGTCGCTATTTACTGCTACCAATAAAACAAGCGAAGAAATCAAAAGACGAATAAATCTTACAAATAGGGCATACTATGGACTCCAAAAGCATTTCCACTAAAGAGACATTCAAAGAAGAACTAAAATTATTATATAAAAAACACTGCTGAGGCCGGTCCTCACATATGGAGCAGAATCATGGACTCTAACGCAGAAAGACAAAGACTTTTGGGAATATTTGAGCGTAAAATACTCCGCAAAATATTTGGAGCTATAAACGACCAAGGGCAGTGGCACAGAAGATATAATTTTGAATTGTATCAGCTCTTTGATGAGCCAGATGTCATAACGTTCATTAAAACACAGCGGCTTAGATGGGCTGGACACATAATAAGAATGCCAGAAAATACAATTGCTAAAAAGCTAACCACAGGAATACCTGTAGGAAGAAGAAGCAAAGGCCGACCGGGAATTAGGTGGTTAGATGGAGGTGAAACCGACTTACGGATATTAAAAATCAGAAGATGGCAACATGTTGCCAGAAACCGAACAGAATGGCGACGAATCTTAGAGCAGGCCAAGATCCACAGAGGATTGTCGAGCCAAAGATGATGATGAATATGTCTGAATTGTCAATATGAATGAATCAGATAAAATTAAATTCAAGATTTCCAAAGTGGAAATTGAAACGTCAATAAACTCATTTTAAACTTAAATTGTGGCTTATTCCCAATAAAAATAGTAAATGCATTAAGACAACGCAAGAAAATAGCTTCAGAACAATATTGGAAAATAAAATGGGATACTTTCATAATTCACAAGAAGTTTAAAGAAGTGGTCACATGCAATTGTAAGAAAAAATCTCGATATTGAAACTGAACCGAAACTCAAAACTATTTAAAGAATACATAGATACATATTACACTATATATTGCATTATTGTATACTACCGGCACTATATAATGAAATACAGTAGGGAATTATTAATTAAAATACAGCCAAGTTCAAATAGGCGAAATTATCCTAGGAAGGATCCCTATAGAAGCAACGCAACACTTTTATGACAACCACTAATATAAAGAACGGGAGATAATACAATAACCTAAGGAAAAAAAATAAATATATCTAATAACGTGTTAAACAAGATGAAAAATTAACGCAAGTATATAATATAAATTGAATAAAATATCTTACATGTTCCCTTTGTTTATACTATTTTCTTATATTAACCACTTAATACATAATATACAATTATGTGTATGTATTTCTAACAAAAATACTATCTAAAAATACAAAAACCCGACTTGTTTTAATCTCACGGAAGCATTAACATTAATTACGCTAATCCTAATAATCTATCAATAATTGCCGGCTTATAAAACTCAACCGTTTATGTAATTTTATATTACCTGAATGATAAGCAGGACTACTAATCCGAAAGTCAACGATGCCATGTGATGAACTGCGGCAGGATTGTCAAATTCAGGAACACAACCCATGCAGCCTATGAACATTAGAAGACCAGTACCAATGAACTCCGCGGCGAACATAGTGATGGCATTTGGTGCACCTTTGATATCTGTAAACAAAAAAAGAATATCAATAATACATAAAATTTATGTAATCTTTTATGTAATCAATTTGTGTGCTATTTAATTTTGCAATATCATCATCAAAGGTACTTTAAAGAATATAGTAAACAATAATTGTTACAGTTTTTATATTATAGTTTTTCTTAACCTTTCAGTCATGTTGGGTATAATTGTACCCATTAATTTGAATGCATATATAACTACAGAAATATCCACCTTAAAACAGTTTAAAGATATTTACATTCTGTAAGTATTTTTTTTTTTTTTTTTTTTTTTATTTAGAATTTCCGCATCAACCATTAAAGGTTATTAGCGGGTTTTACAGATTTTACAGTTGTTATTACAAATACAAATTTACTAATTACAAATTGCGTATTAAATTACACATAATAAATTACAAATTACAAAGAGATACATATAATATAACTTAAATTTTATGTAGTAAACGTATGTCCTTAAGGAATTTGATTGTATTAGATACATTACTGTTTAAAATATCTTTAAGTTTCTTTGCTTCTTCTGGTACGTTGTTGATGGCTCTTTCGTAGGAATAAAGAGGACATTCAATCAATACATGTTGAACAGTTATTGGACATTCACAATAGGAACATTCAGGTGGTAGTTCTTTTGTTATGAGATGCTGGTGAGTTAACGCTGTGTGTCCAATTCTTAGTCGGTTTATAATCACTTGTTGCCTTCTGTTTTCTGGAAATTGTAGTTTAGTGCCAATCCTAGTTTTCACGTTTTTAAGGTTAGCCTTAGTAGAATTCCACATTTGTTGCCAATTTTTTGCACAGTGCTGTTTAATATTGAGCTGGATATCACTGAATGGAATTGTAGTCATAATTTCAGTTTTCTCGTCAGTAGCAGCTTTCTTTGCTAATTCATCTACTTTTTCATTTTCTGCGATACCTGTATGTGATGGTACCCAGAGAAATGTAACGTTCACGTGTCTGTTTTGTAGGTGATAAAGTGCTAATTGTATTTGTTGCAGGATAGCATGTACTGGATATATTTGCCTTAAGCTCTGAAGAACAGATAAAGAGTCAGTAATGATAAGAAAATCTGAGCTTGCATGACTCTTACACATGTCTAAAGCCTTTAAAATGGCGATTGCTTCTCCCGTGAAAATGCTGCAGAATTGAGGGATGCGAACTGCATATTCAGACTTTCCTAGAATAAAGGCCGCTGCGTGTCCGTTTTCAGTTCTTGACGCATCGGTAAAAATCTTGTTATGGCCAGTGTATTCTAATATCCGTTCTTGATATAATTTGTTAATGATTATGGGATTTGTGGTACTCTTTGGATAGGCCGTGAGGGATAGATCAATAGTGGGAAAATTAATAGTCCAGGGAGGTATAGTTCGTTGTGTAGGGTAAGAATGTGTGAGCTGCTCCATGTCAAAACCGTATCTCGTTAGACGTTCTTTAAGGGGTGGATATTTAATTTGTTGATGGCAATGAGTAGGTGGATATATTTTATAAAGAAGTGGATAGTTTGTGTTATTAGGGTTGGAAGACAATCTCGCGGCATAATTTAAAGAAATGTGTTGTCTTCGTATTGATAGGGGAGATTCATTTAGGATAACCTGAAAACTTGAAACAGGACTAGTTCGGTAAGCACTCAGAATTAGTCTTAAACATGTGTTTTGTATAATGTCTAGTTTTTTAAGTATATAATTACTCGCAGTTGAATAGCATATTGCACCATAATCCAGTTTACTTCGGATTAATGATTGGTATATATGCAGCAATTTTATGGTGTCCGCTCCCCAAGATCGGTTTGATAGCATTTTAAGGAGATTTATTTTAGATTGGCAGGATACGACTAGCTTTTTAATATGTTCTGCCCATGTTAACTGACTGTCCAGTCTTAGGCCAAGAAAGTCAATTCTCTCTACTTGTTCTAAGTTGATACCATTTAGAGTAAGTGTTGTTTTGCAATCAGTTTTTCTTTTATTGAATACGATGAAACGAGATTTATCACCTGAGAACGTAAAACCAGTCTTTTGGGACCAGTCTTCTAGTTTATGCAGAAATGATTGCAAAATGTTTGAGACTAGTGTAATATTGCAGCTACTAGTATATACAACTAAGTCATCTGCATACAGACCTGCTTTCAAAGGTAGCTTTATCTCTTGAGCGATATTATTAATTGCTATTAAGAATAAAGTGGGGCTTAAGGTTGAGCCCTGTGGAATACCGTTTTCAAGATATTCTGTTTTTGAGGTAATTCCATTTACACGTACTTGAAATATCCTATTATTCATGAAATGTTTTACAAAGGCAAGAAAATTTCCCTGGATACCCCAATTGGACATGGTTTGTAAAATGTTGTATCTCCATGCAGTATCAAATGCTTTATTTCTGTAAGTATTATACTTCGGCGTTTTGTACCCAGATGGGGCATGGATGATTTTATTCTAAAAGAAAATTACAGCAATTGGATGCAATTGCATTGCTCGTAAGAGGTAAGTGGACTACCTGTTATTTTTATTTTCAGAGTCAAATGCCTCCAGTACAATATTTAATGGAGAAGAAACTGCTAGAAGAGCTAGAAAAACTGTCCGACATAGAAGGATGTGATTGACGGTGACTGCAAAGAAGAAATACAAGTAAGACAGAGATTTTGGCCATACGATAGATGATGTCTCAAAAAATCAAAACAAAGGGCAGGATGAGGAGGAGAAAAAGGGTAATGAAAAAGAAAAGGAGGATGATGATAATAAATAGGGCGAAAATTATTGTAACTATGATAACTTTATCACTCCAAAAACATATGTAAAATGGTTACAGAATGTTTAATATGTAACAACATAATTCCCTAATACAATAACCCGGGTGTCCAATAAAAACTGTTTTGAGGAATATCCAGTTACATATTATTCTTTGAGATATTTTCCCAAAAGTTTATTTAAAAATTTCGTTCAATTCACGAATATATGTTTTTGCCAACTGGAATTGTGAAATTTGTATCATGTAACCTGCAAGAGGATTTGATCCCCAGGTGGGTGCTCAATCCCACACCTCTAAGGAGGTCAGCCTCATGGAATCTGGGGGAGGCAAAAACTCATTAAAACACCGAAAGCAACATATCTATATTGCTAGTTTCAATGCCAGAACCCTCAAATCACCCGAACGAATGGAAGAACTGGAAGAAGAACTAACTAAGATCAAGTGGGATGTCCTTGGTCTAAGCGAAACGAGACTGCCAGGAGAACAATGTACAATACTCCATTCTGGACACATGTTCTACCAATTCCATAATGAGTACAATACACATGTCGGCGGTGTAGCACTATTGATCCACAAAAGACTCAAACATCTGGTCACAAAATCTGCTGCAATCTCGGAGAGGGTCATTTACATCGTTCTTAAACTATCAGAAAGGTACAGCATCCAAATAATTCAAGTATACGCTCCCACTAGTCAATCCACAGATGAAGAAATAGAGAAATTCTATGAAGATATTTCTAAAGCAATGACAGAAAGAGCTCATTTTAAAATAATCATGGGAGACTTTAACGCCAAAGTAGGGAAGCACAACACCGGCAACATACCAAATAGAGGAATATATGGGCTAGGAACTACAAATGAAAGAGGAGAACGGTTACTAACATACACACAGGAACAAAATCTATTTTGTATGAATACATTTTTTAGTAAACCAGATAATAGACGGTGGACCTGGATAAGCCCAGACGGGAAAACCAAAAATGAAATCGATTACATATTAGTCAACCAGAAACAGATAATAAAAGATGTAGCGGTGCTCAACAGATTCAGTCTGGGAAGTGATCATAGATTAGTAAGAGCAAAAATAATAATCGATAACAAATTAGAAAGAAACAAACTAATCTTGCAAAAACGAACCCTAACTACTAAAGAGCTTGGGCAAAACAGTACCAACTACCAGAAATATCTTGAGTCTAGTCTAGAGCCAATGGAACAGCTAAAAGAAAAAGACATAAATAATTTGGAAGAAACGATAAGAACGAGTATAATCTCTGCGATCAAAAAAACCCATACGATGCCGAAACCGAAAGATAATAAATTGAAGACAGAAACACAACAGATGATTAGGGACAGAAGCCGCATGGATCGAAATTCACCAGAATATAAGGAACTTAATAAGGCAATAAGAACAAGAATTAGACAAGACATCAGGGACAACAACACCGAAAAAATCGAAAACATTATAGAGAAAAACAAGAATATGAAAGTGTTAAAAACGCTAAATAGCAAAGGCCGACAACAAATACACCAAATAAAGGATAAAAATGGAATCATTAGAAACGACAAAAATCAGATAATAAACATTGTCGAAGATTATTATACAGAATTATACTCGTCCAGCGTAGCAAAACCTGAAACCCATGATACGGAACGAAGAATACTAAATGTAGGATCTGAAACACTACCAGAAATTACTACCGAGGAAGTTGTAAATGCCTTAAAGCAAATGAAAAATGGAAAATCTCCTGGAGACGACGGAATAACAAAAGAGATGATTACAGCTGGAGGTCAAACTACTATGGAGGCAGTTAAAATCTTACTGAACAAGTGCCTATTCGGGGGTGCTATTCCAACCTCTTGGCAAAACGCGCAGGTACTTTTACTACACAAGAAAGGAGACAAACACAAACTCGAAAATTACAGACCAATAAGCCTGTTACCACATCCATACAAACTGCTTACCAAAATAATTACCAACAGACTATCAAACAAATTTGATAGTTACCAGCCTGTTGAACAAGCGGGTTTCCGCAAAGGTTATAGTACAATAGAACACCTACAGACAATAAGGACACTTATTGAAAAATGTAACGAATACAATGAACCTCTTCATTTGGCATTTGTGGATTACAATAAGGCATTCGATTCCATAGAATTCTGGGCGGTATTAGACGGAATGAACAACGCAAGGATAGATTCCAGATATAGAATGCTCCTAAAATACATATACGACAATGCAACTATGCAAATAA